AATACAAAAATTAAATACTTTTGTATTAATAAAAGCATTAAAACTTCATTCCTTTTCATAAAATATCTTTAGTAAAGGATAAGGGTAGAAATTCTATTTTGGGACTTCAAGGCTAAAAACATGCCAATGAATAATAATTAGATTTATACTTCAAAAGAGAAGTTATTTTAAGATCTTTCACTTCCATATAAGGAAAGATTAAACGATTTGCTTTGAGTAATAAATAAATTGATGAGGCGTAGGAATACAGAAAAAGGCAATAATGACTGACCACTTTACAACTTGTAATCATCCTATAAAACGCAGAGCACTAGTTTTTGCGTGGCTTTTTGTTGTTTATCATGCTTTAATAAAATCCGTCAGCTTAGACGGGATATGTGTTCCCCCTCTCCCGCTTTGGAGAGGGGTTAAACTGCTATATCACCATTGTTTAGTAAAATAAAATATTATGCCGAAACTGGACTATTTAATCATGCTGCTCTCACTACTAATTTACTAAACACTGAAAATTATTCAACTGTACTCGGTAAAAAATAATACTTAAACTTAGGAATACAGATTGTGTAACACAATAATAAATGCGAAGTCATTTAACTTGTTAAAAATATGTTACGATAACCCTATATCATGTCATCATTAGGAACGGTTTTTACCTTTTTTTGAGCTCTCTTTTGTTTTTAAAAATTTCGATACAAATGTTGAAATTTATAACTGTCAACATCTAATAGGTCAATCACTTATCTTGTTTTTATAATATTTATTCATTTTTTTTTTGTTATTTTTGACGACAAGTTGAGCATGATCTCATAAAATGAAGATCTCGAGAGACACACATTTATATATAACAATAGATAACAATAAAGAAAAAAAAGTGAAAATAAAGCACAAAAAGCGCTTTAAATTGTTTCAAAAAAACAATTGTTCGTTTTGAGAAAAAAACTTTAAAAAACCGTAAACCCAAAATTAGGTTATGAAATAAAATAAAATATATTTTAGCTGTTTTTTAGAGGTTGGTAAATTATTCAACTGATTATGCATGTACGGTGGCTCAAGTAACAGCCGTGCAACTCTCACGTTATGGGGGGGGAGGGGGAGCGATGTTTGATCGGCAGAAAAATAACGAGTTAAACCAAAAATATTTTTTGACTCACTTTATATATAATAATAACTCTTCACAAAACTTTTAATATAGTTGTTGTTAGTTATTTTCTCCTATTATTAAAAAGAAAATCATTTCAGTTTGGTAAGTGTATACGGTTTTTCAATTTAGTTCTTTAATTCGATCTTTTCATCGCAATTACTATTTTCATTTTATTTGATTCAGATAAAATGAATGGTTATAAATATCCGAAGTTTTCTTCATCAAAGAGTTTTTGTTTCATATTATAATTTTTAATTTTTTTTATGGTAAGTATAACATAGGACGCACATGTAAACTGTGCAGGGGGGGGGACCTGTGTATGTAAATTATATAAGTAAATGTATTAAGTATAAAAAGGAATCTATACATATATGAACAAAATAAATGAATAATGTAATTATATGTTTAAGTTTAATCGAAGGTTTGTGTTAAAAAAAAATGTTTGAAATATCTGAACTAAAATGATTAAATGAAATAGAGGAATAAAGGGGACGATTGAGTAAAATAAATGAATACACTTTGGGACTGTAATTTGAATTCATGCACGAAATAAATATATAAAGCAAATTTATACAATAATTGAGCATAATTAATAGATAAGACCAATAAAATAATAGTAAGGAATTGATTTAATCTTCGAAACTAATAAATAAATTAATGTAATATT